ACAACTATATATATTAATATATGTATTCTTACATGATATACCGGATTTCTTATGTGTGAATGTGCACTTTTTGGATTTGCAAAGGTGAACTTTCAAACAAGCATGGTGTACCTTCAAATGACTGCAGGCTTCCGGCCACAGCGACTTGTCAACGGTCTTGGTGACAAAAAAATTGTTGCTAGCCAAGACCACATAGATCGACGAACCTTCCTTGTTTGGGTCCACTGCGGTGTATGAAATCCTTTCACCCAGGTCAGTCCCAGCAGGCATGTAAAGGTCAGGAATTTTGAGCTGACACAACAAGCCCAAAGATTGGGCAGCTTTGTCCCTGCGCTTTGCTTTCAAGTCTTCCTTGTCTGGCTTGTGTGTCTTATCTGCAAGTTCTTCAGCTGGCTCTGCACTTGCGCCAGCAGGATCTTCCACAACATGTTTGCCTTTGCCTTTCTTTGCACCTGCCTTGCTTTTAGGCAACGCTTTGTCACCCACCACCTTGGGATCCTTTGCCAAGTCAACGCTGGCTGACTTACTTCTACGTCTCTTGTTTGGCTCTGCCTCAGCTCCCTTTGCTCCTGCATCAACTTCCTTTTCCTCGGCCTCAACTTCCTTTGAAGGTTGTTTCTTGTTTGGACCGGCATTCTTCCTAGGACGTTTGGTCTTCGGTTTGGCCTCTGCCTTTTCCAGTTTCTCCTGCTCCTTCTTTCTTTTCTTTTCAATTTTTTCCACTTGGTTGTCCTCTTCAGCCTCCAAACAAAAGCGAATAGATATCAACTTGCTATGATAGATTCAAGAGGCACACTCCAAAGCACAGAGCGAATAATCATATCACCTACCTTCTTCAACTCTTTGCGAAGTTTGGCTTGTTTCAGTGCCAAGTCGGGAATGGTCTCCTGCATTAAGCCCCTGGGGAAATCAAAAGAACAGACCAGGTCCATGTACTGTATGGACAGTGTCATTAAAATATGAGCTGCAACAATCTCACAGATCCAGTTTGGTCCTCCTTGGTGTCGTCCTTAATGTTCATGCTTGCAAAAGCCTCCCAGGAAAACATCATGTCCCATCAAGATCATCAAGTCAAACAAACATGTTGTTAAAGTACATTGGCCTCGTCAAGATCCTCCGCACTGCCGTCATGAGCTTCCATCGAAGTTGAACAGGGAATCTCCTGGGCAAGTGAAATAAAAAAGAACGGCTAGCAATCTTGAAAGGAGCCCCATGTTGTTGAGACACCACAAGCAGCCTGATCGTCTCGCAGCTGGCTGTCAGCCACCTAGTTCCAGTTCCACTAGTTTGTGAAAACAGCTTGCACCAAACTGTTTGCTTTGGATTGGAAACTCAAGGGGTTGATCTCCAGCACACATATCATATTGATTTATTTAGACTTATACAACACATTAATTGCACAACATGCACGTGTGTGCCCAACACAATAATATTCTACAATAGCAATCTTCATGCACATGTGAGTATGAGCAGCCTCACCATTGGCAGGTGGAAGTGAAGATGCCGACTGGCAGGCAAGAGCAGGGTTCACAAAGTTGATGCATAAGGGGGGATACAAATTTAATAATGTATCAATATTTTTTTGGGTTGATGCCACTACCAGATCAAAAAATGTTTGAGTTTTTCCAAATAGTCTTATAGATCGATGGGCTGTGCCGGACTCCCACAACTTAAACCAGCCTCGTCCTGTGCACCCAAAGCTTCTTCAGCCTTCAGGAGATGGCAAAAACAGGAGAAGGGAGTATGCCCACTTGAATTAGATAATTAAACCTGGCCTTGAGGGCACCTGGCCATCTTTGAAAAAACGCCCGTACTCGTAATCGAAGGGGAACAAAGTCTTGGTCCATTGGGGCGCCCTGGCCATGCATTTTTTGTGGTAAAACATGTCAATATGATGCAAGAAGCGCACCTGCGTATCATCTGGAGCCGCTGCATGTAGGACATCAAATGGAAGAGTCTGGCACACAAGAGCCACGAACTAGTAAGTGGTTGCAAGAGTGTCTGGTGTATTTTTTAGTAGGCCTGCACCTGGTCGATGATCAGTTCGTTCGCCTGCCAAAGCAAACATGATCAATGGCATCGTTTCTAGATTAGACTTTTGTTTTTCTACCAGGCCTGCTTTCTGTTCATGTCAATGTCTTCTGCAGCCACCTGTTGGGTTGTGCATCATACAACACCCATCTTCCTAACAGCAAACAAAAAGTACTTATAGGGGACAGAAGGAACAGATATTGACATATAAATGGTGAATGCTGTGAAACTGCCTCATTCGATGTTGCCCCGGGAGCTTCCATGTCACACCCATCATCCTGCACAGTTCGATCAATACCACAGTAGCTAAACTCAAGAGTCACATATGACCTTAAAATCGAAACTTCAGACGGGGGTTGTAACTTGGACCCTGGCCTGCTGGGACTCCTCCGCACAGGCTTCTGCAGCTGGAACATCACAAGCCTGAGGCCACTTTGTGCACACCTTAATTGGTTTTATAAAACCCTTGTGGCTGAATATGATGTGCAACTGGGCTGAGCACATCTTTATCGGTCCCCAGATCTTTGGAGATCTCTGGGGAAGGGTTCTCATTCACCACCGGGGCCATCAAAGCCTGGATGGACAAATGGGTAGCTCAATTACATTCGAAAAATGTTTGCACTGTACTTTTAATTACTCGAAAAAAAACACAAAATGCATACAAGATCATACAATTGAATGTTTGGCCTCAGGTGTTTCCTCTGGATCCTCATCCTGTTTGCAATGTGTCAAACATGGCAAGTCTGCCAGGATTTTGCGACAATTCAGCACACTTTGCAATGAGGCGCCTTGATCAGCACAGGTTCCTGCATGAGCGGATGTTCGAACCCCAAGACCCAAAGGGAAACCAAACTAGCTAGTAATATGCATATCGAGTATTGCATATCAGTTGCCTGAATTGCTTCGACAATGATCGGCTCATCATCCAGCTCAACCGCAAGTGCTACCACCTCCGACAGAAATCCAGTTCATGTCCAAGAGGGAACTAATATATTGACATCAGAATGCCTTGCCTGATCTGGAAACTCAGTAGTAGGGTCCCGATCATGAACCTGGCCAGTGTGGTCCCCATAAATGTTGTAAATACAACTTTTTTGGAACATGTCACCCACACCTTCCGACCACTGATGAACCTGTGGTACAGCGCCTTCAAGACGATGATCTTTTCACGCCTGAAGTTAGTTCAAATTTTGGTCGTTTCTCCCAAAAAAGTGTGAGGAACCGTTGTTTGATGGTGTGATCAACTGGCCTGCTGTTCAAGCTTTTCCGAACCAGGAAGTGCACATGACTCAGCATGGCATGCAGCCTGTTCGCTTCCAAGTTGGCCCAATCCTCAGATGGGCCAATGTCCCAATTGGGAGGCAAGAGTAAAAACAAATCATGAAGGAATGTCCAGATATATATTATAGAATGCATACATGCATGTTTTTTTTTTGCAAATGAGTATCCCGTATGAACTTTTTCCCTCCTCTGATGTTGTACTTGTCATGGTGCCAGTTGTGCAACAGAGTGGATAGCAACATCCCAGCCTCAGATATCGGGAAAAATGACTTGTTTGCAAAAGGTAATTCAGCACCATATGAATGAAATTGCAATAGGTGCATCGCTCAATGTTTTGAAATAAATGACAGGTGACTTCAATGTCTTTGACATGGGGGAGGCCTGACTCACCCAAAATCCCACGGGTCGCCACCATGAACTCTGACAGAAGGTTGTAGTTCCGGACTAGGTCATCATCGTAGGCCTGGGCCAGCAGGCAACTCTATGACAACTGTTCTAGCTTTTTCTCTTCAAGACATGCAAAATGCCAGTTGTCCTGACTGTCCAAACTGAGCTAAAGACTCCAGGCTTGATATGGTCTCTTTGCCAATTGCAAACGGCACGGCCCTGGCAAAAGCAAACTCTTAACTGCCAATTTCCCTGTGGATCCAAGTGTTTCATGCTCTCTCAGAATGAACCTGCTGAAACTTATAAAATGTGTAAGGGCCTCATTGGTCATGGTGTCTGGGGCAAAGTGTGTCACGTAGGACTGAATACCATCGAAGCAAAGTTGGCCATTCACCTAGCATAAGTGGCCAAGACTGGATTTACTAGTATATAACTAACTCAAAACGAACCTTGTGATATATAAACTGACACTTTTCTTTGGGAACGAACCCATAAATTACATGCTTTCAAGTCACAGAGACTTTGAACTTCATTGGTGATGAGATCACCCTGGTCCCATCCTCCGCCCTGTGCTCCACCACAAGACTTGCCATCTTACTTGGCCTACCTAAGGCTGGATGTTCCTGAGCCTTTTTGGCGCGACATGCAGCAGGTATGTGAACATGCACGTTGGATGCAACATAGTTTCACACATCCCACATCTCCCACCATCTCCACAGCAGTGCATAGGGGGGAGGCACTTCTAATGGCAGCAGCTCGGAGTAGGCCCATGGCCAAATAAACATCCCTTAAGAATGTTTTCAAGTTGACATTTGGTTCATCGTTAGCCAGACCCCGAAATGTTGAACACATATTTGATGATGATCAACATGTCTTGTGCCAGCAGTGAAGATGTGGATGTTCACAAAAGGCCAATGCTAGTTTCATCTTGTCTCACTAGTGATGTCATTATCGAAAAGCTCTGGGAAAACAATCTGTTTGAGCCAACTTTACCTCAGGGAGGACCTGGACCCCCAAGTCCATTACCAGCCAAAGTTGGCCCCAAGTCTGCCCTCAGCAGAAGTTTCAGCAGGTTCATTCTGAGAGAGTACTTGGATCCACAGGGTATATATAATTATATATATACATTGGTCAGATGATAATGCTCAGTACCGCATGAGTACGTTCGGGAAATTTCTGGGTAGGTTTACATCCACGCCTTGGCAGGTATAATCGAGGCCTGCTTACTTGCTTGGTATGCCTTTGTTTTTTTTTACCAGTCAAAATCAGATATCCGCAACCTTCTGGCTCCATACCCTCAGGTGTCGTTTGACGCACAAGATCATCTGGATAGGACCCACTGCGGCCAGATCTGGGGTAAATGTTTGAGGCAAAAGATGGATGAGGCAATGAGGGGACCAAAGTTAACGACTTGAATGCGAGCGGCCACCAGCCACTGCTGGCTGAATCGCAGCCAAATTGGAAGGATCAAAACAGATCAAAGCAACAGGGTCTAAAACAGCTTTTCTGTATGCCCAATTTCTATCTTCATGTGGTGAGGATCCTTGAAGCTACTTGACTGTTGTTGTGTTGACACTGTTGACTAGGACGTGACTAGCCTCTCATTACGCAAGGGTTTGATGGTAGAATTTATGACGTTTTGCAGGAGCAAATCGGAACTGAATAGGTGAATGCCGAGCCATGTCATCTAGTTGAATCTAGTTTGTTCCTCTTTTTTTCAGACCTTGACTGGTAATTTCCGATGTCCCATTTATAATTTATAATTAACTGACTTACAGGCATATAGAGCTGGGATGAATATCGGATACTGTCTGACAGGGTGTCCCAATCAGCCATCAATTATGCTTGTATTTTTATCTAGGCCAACAACTCCGGGTGTCAGGGAACACAAACCAACTTGTAACTTGTGCGGGCCCACATTCTAGCATCCTTCAGCTTCCCAGAACCTGTCGAGAAGATTATTTAGGACGATTTAGTGATTTAGGTAGGGTTTTCGATGGTTTTCGGGGGTTCAAAGAACCTTTTGCAAAAGGTGATTGGACCTCAACAACTGTATATATTTATGGTGAATTCTAATCTATTCATGATTTCAACCAATTATAAAAGGTGTTTGCACGCGTTGTCATGAAAAAAGGTGTTGCCAACTTGTCTCCGCAGCGCCAGGGCTTTGAGCCGGCATCTATTCATCCTATTTCTATGAGAAAATTATAAATCAATATAAATCAGACATCAAATTTTGGGGTATTCAATCAAAACCTATATGCTCACATCCTCAAAAATGGATGGTTTCGTGATGTTTCGTGCCTTCCCAACCTGGGTTCATTGGGAAAATTGTCACCCGTGATGGGAATTCTGCCGTGGATGAAGATTTTGTTGGATTATTTTTGAAACAAGTACAAGCTGCAGCACTGTACTGTACAGCAAACCGCCCAAACAGATAGAAAATTACAATCCGAACCTAAAACAGTGATGATTCACTTTTACGTTTTTTAAGGACTATACTGAAAATTGATGAAGCATGGATATGTGATATCACCAAGAAGAGTGTAGGCACGATGTCAACCAACTTGCAGCAATTCCTTTTGGCAGCTACAGTCGACTGCTCCACCGTGTGCTCAGCCAATGGTGCCTCGCACACGCCGAGTTGCACCACTTTGCCAATGACGTCAGTGGGCAGTCCCAGTTCAGTGGCCTCCTGTGGCCAGAATAGCGATGCGACTCGTTAATTTGGACCTGTACTAGAATTGAGACTGGCAGGCAATTCATGGGATTCTTGAAAAGGAAAACTGGGAGGCCAGAGAAGATGATGTGTGTGTGTATATATATATATATATATACATACATACATGCTTGATCATGTGTCTCAAACCGTGGGTTGTTATGGATTCGCACCCATAGTAAGGACTGTAATATAGTAACTAAAGATGGTGCAAGTGCAAACACGATGCTCTGTATTCTGTGCATGAGCCTAAAATTGATGGTGACCCATGTGACCCATAGCTTTGTCCCACGCGGTATAGCTGTTATACTTCCACTGCTTGGTGTAGAGACTGTTGTGTCTGCATTTGGTGGCAATGTTCCACATGTCTGTAGAGAGATTGACCATGAACTAGTGGTTAAGATAGGCGACCCAATGTTCAGACAGCCCCGAATTTGAATGGAAGGGCAGCTACCAAAGCACCCTGCTGGGACAAACCAATAGTATAGCTGGTACAGTTCTGTTGTATCCCCATGTCATGCTTATATAGTTTTATCCCAAGCAACAGCCATAAACCCTCATTATAGCTCATTCTCTCGCCATAAGATGGCTGGTTATATAATGATATATATATATATATTTGCCAAGAGGCAAGTTGTTTGTTGAATCCAAATCTAGATTAGTTGAACATGCTTGACCAACCAACCAAATTATGTTGTATTAAATCCTATTGGTTCTTTATGTCCCATTTGTTTGCTAAATCCTCAACCATACTTTACCAACCAAGTTTCAACGCTTAATTCCCACCAGTATTTGATAAGCAACAATCTGTTCCTTGGTATACAGTGTACAGTATACTCCTATTTTTTTTTGCGTGCATGGGGTTATACACTACTACATTGATGTGTTCAAAATCCCATGTGTTGATAGTTATTAACTTGCCCCAACCATAGTTGGCTTGACCAAACCAAACCATAGTTCTGCTCGTGAAATCCAGATGTTTAATAGTGCTAAAACCAATCCCGTCTGTTGCAAACCAACTAATTCATGGGTTGGACCACCTCTGCCACAACCAGCCGCAAGCTACAAAGGCCTGCACTTGCTGCGGAGCTTGTTTCACTGGACTTGCCCTGGTAGGTGCCACATGGTGCCACAGGGAAAACCTCGAAGATTGTGAAGTTGCTGGATAGACAAGTGGCTTATCATTATTTTAGTAAGACTTGATGTGTCTATCTTTTTGGGGGTGCTATACATAGCGTATGTAAATAGTAGAACTGGTTGGTTTTGCCCAACCAAAACGCGAATTGCAGCAACGGAAGAATACTGAAGAATGGTGTCCATCAAGCAAGCATGGCTGTTTTACTATATAGTTTTGCTGAAGGCTTCCAAGACCATTGATGGAGGGTGAAAACATGTTTGATCAGTATTGCAATGGAAAGTAACGAATTCAAACAAAAACAAATAATAAATAAAAGAGTGCGAAGGGGCGAAAGGCAGCTGGAAATTTCACCAACTAATGGTTCACGTGTTTTTTTTGTTTTTCGGTTTGCACCTCGTAAGTGATTTGAAACCATCCACCATGTTTAAGAGTTCGGACTTAAAAGTAGAATGTAGCGTTCAAGATTTTGTCGGCGTTTCAATTCCTTGCAACCAAATAATCAAATATGTACCTTTTCACTTTGGCAAGAAATGACACCACTTTCGTGGAGACCTCCAGCAAAAAACAGTTTCAAAGTTCAAGTCGACTACTTCAATTAAGTGAATCCTGCACTTGGACTAGTTGCTTTTGGCTTTAAACCATGTTTAATGGTTGAATCTCACATTAATAGATGCATATAATGTATATATATATATACACACTATATATACACACTATATATATCTATATACACATATATATATACACGATATATATATATATATGTATATATATATATATATGTAGACACATTTGTTTATATATATATATATAACATTCAAATTACCATATTCCACTAGATCTCCGTGGCTTTCAGGCGCATCGCTTCGCTACGTCGAAGCCTACCTTACTGTGGAGAGCCCCAGAGACAGGTGGTGACCCAGGTGGTGAGATGTCACCAAGCTGATTGGTTTGGGTAATTACTCCGGTAAACTAACATGGCTATTGAAAATTGAAGATATTGAACATATGGAAATTTCTAGTGGCTTTACCAAAAAAAGATGGTGACTTTGTTAGTTTTGCCAGAGGGTAATAGGATTTACAGTGGTTTATTATTATTGACATATGGGGATATCATTGACGCATGGATATACATGATCATGGAAACATACTTGATAATCATCTATAATCATCTATACAATAGATAATGTATAATGGGCCATACCCTGGTTGATTGGTGATGAAATAGGGGATTATACTGCCGGGTTTAATGGGGCTTATGACCTATTACAGTGACCAACTAGTATAATGAGATGGGATAGGGATGTTTTTCATGGTTTATTTGGTCCGGCTTCTGAACGCGGGATTCACAGTTCATTGAAGATAACAATCCCCAATATGTAAAGGATAGTTTTTGACCCCTAACTAGTTATCAACCAACAGGGGTTTAGCAGCCATTGCTCAAGTAGCATATGCATTGGCACTCTGAAATATCATGAAATTTCAATGTGGAGCAGCCTCAAAAAAGAGCGAGCTTGGTAAACTCACACTCTCAAATGAGTGATCAATTTCTGTTTCTACGTCTTTTAGGAGGTACGAGATGAGTGGTGAGATGTGGTGGGAATGCAGTATGGTAAAACTCAGTGTCATGAATCGTGTTGAGTAGAGGCATGTATCAATTGAATGATGAATTTAGTATTATTTCCAAACTCTGACACATAGATAATTGCTTCAAGGCAGCTTCACAACTGACCCGGAACTTGAATACCTTGACCCTCAAAGCAGCAATAGAGATGGGAGAGAGAGCGCCAAAATTCGGGCTGTCCCATTTTTTGGGGATATTGTAGATCAACAAGTTTACAATAGTTTATATACATATTTATATATATATATTTATATATATATATGTATAACAATCCTGGAGTAGATAGAATCCAGTTTCGTAGGGGGCGTTTTTTTTTTTGAAAAAACCCAGGGTTTTTTGACCCAATACTAAACTATATATTCGGACCCCCTAGATAGAATATTCCAAAATCTACTCCAGGATGCTCAAAATGTGTTTTTTTTTCCTTTCCTTTTCAAAACCTTCCAATTTATTTTTTTCTTTCAAATTTTCCTTTTCAAACAGCTGCAAAAAATGAACTTTGGATGGTAAGATCGTAGACGTAGATTCCTACTTTTTTCATTTCCTTTTCCTTTCACACTTTTCCCTTCAAAAATCTGTAATTGTGAACTTTGGACGGTAAGATCGTGGATTCCAGCTTTTCTCATGCCATGTTCCTTTCAAAGTTTGATTCCTGCTTTTCTCATGTCCTTTTCCTGTCACAGTTTTCCATTCAAAAACCTTCAATTATGAACTTTGGATGGTAAGATCGTGCATTCCAATTTGTTTCCTTCCATTTTCCTTCCAAGTTTCCTTTTCAAACAGCTGCGAGAATGAACTTTGGATGGTAAGATCAGTTATTCCTACTTTTCTCATGCACTCTTCCTTTCAAACACAGTTTTCCATTCAAAAACCTTCAATTATGAACTTTGGATGCTCGATCTTGGATTCCTACTTTCTATACTTTTCTCATCTCCTTTTCCTTTCACGGCTTTCTATTCAAAAACCTGCAAGACTGAACTTTGAATGGTAAGATCGTGGATTCCTTCTTTTCTCATCCCATTTTCTTTTTGTTGCTTCTTTTCAAAAACCTGCAATTTCAACTTTGGATGGTAAGATCTTGGATTCCTACTTTTTAGATGCCATTTTCCTTTTAAAGTTTGCTTTCAAACAGCTCCAAGAATGAACTTTGGATGGGTAGATGTGGAGGAAGGGGCAGGGAGCACCACAAATACATGCTTAATCCCAAACATCCTTTAAAAATTCAGTCTTTTCATGGTTCTAGAGGATATTCTATCTATAGTTTTGCCCAACTGTCCTAGCACAGTACTAGCACAAATGAACTTTGGATGGTCGATCTTGGATTCCTACTTTTCTGTACTTTTCTCATCTCCTTTTCCTTTCACGGCTTTCTATTCAAAAACCTGCAAGACTGAACTTTGAATGGTAAGATCGTGGATTTCTTCTTTTCTCATCCCATTTTCCTTTTGTTGCTTCTTTTCAAAAACCTGCAATTTCAACTTTGGATGGTAAGATCCTGGATTCCTACTTTTTAGATGCCATTTTCCTTTTAAAGCTTGCTTTCAAACAGCTCCAAGAATGAACTTTGGATGGGTAGATGTGGAGGAAGGGGCAGGGAGCACCACAAATACATGCTTAATCCCAAACATCCTTTAAAAATTCAGTCTTTTCATGGTTCTAGAGGATATTCTATCTATAGTTTTGCCCAACTGTCCTAGCACAGTACTAGCACAAATGAACTTTGGATGGTCGATCTTGGATTCCTACTTTTCTGTACTTTTCTCATCTCCTTTTCCTTTCACAGCTTTCTATTCAAAAACCTGCAAGACTGAACTTTGAATGGTAAGATCGTGGATTTCTTCTTTTCTCATCCCATTTTCCTTTTGTGGTTTCTTTTCAAAAACCTGCAATTTCAACTTTGGATGGTAAGATCTTGGATTCCTACTTTTTTAATGCCATTTTCCTTTTAAAGTTTGCTTTCAAACAGCTCCAAGAATGAACTTTGGATGGGTAGATGTGGAGGAAGGGGCAGGGAACACCACAAATACATGCTCAACTCCAAGCATCCTTTAAAAATTCAGTCTTTTCATGGTTCTAGAGGATATTCTATCTATAGTTTTGCCCAACTGTCCTAGCACAGCACTAGCAAAAATGAACTTTGGATGGTCGATCTTGGGTTCCTACTTTTCTATACTTTTCTCGTCTCCTTTTCTTTTCACAGCTTTCTATTCAAAAACCTGCAAGACTGAACTTTGAATGGTAAGATCGTGGATTATTTCTTTTCTCATCCCATTTTCCTTTTGTGGTTTCTTTTCAAAACCTGCAATTTCAACTTTGGATGGTAAGATCTTGGATTCCTACTTTTTTAATGCCATTTTCCTTTTAAAGCTTGCTTTCAAACAGCTCCAAGAATGAACTTTGGATGGGTAGATGTGGAGGAAGGGGCAGGGAGCACCACAAATACATGCTCAACTCCAAGCATCCGTTAAAAATTCAGTCTTTTCATGGTTCTAGAGGATATTCTATCTATAGTTTTGCCCAACTGTCCTAGCACAGCACTAGCAAAAATGAACTTTGGATGGTCGATCTTGGGTTCCTACTTTTCTATACTTTTCTCGTCTCCTTTTCTTTTCACAGCTTTCTATTCAAAAACCTGCAAGACTGAACTTTGAATGGTAAGATCGTGGATTCCTTCTTTTCTCATCCCATTTTCTTTTTGTTGCTTCTTTTCAAAAACCTGCAATTTCAACTTTGGATGGTAAGATCTTGGATTCCTACTTTTTAGATGCCATTTTCCTTTTAAAGTTTGCTTTCAAACAGCTCCAAGAATGAACTTTGGATGGGTAGATGTGGAGGAAGGGGCAGGGAGCACCACAAATACATGCTTAATCCCAAACATCCTTTAAAAATCAGTCTTTTCATGGTTCTAGAGGATATTCTATCTATAGTTTTGCCCAACTGTCCTAGCACAGTACTAGCACAAATGAACTTTGGATGGTCGATCTTGGATTCCTACTTTTCTATACTTTTCTCATCTCCTTTTCCTTTCACAGCTTTCTATTCAAAAACCTGCAAGACTGAACTTTGAATGGTAAGATCGTGGATTTCTTCTTTTCTCATCCCATTTTCCTTTTGTTGCTTCTTTTCAAAAACCTGCAATTTCAACTTTGGATGGTAAGATCTTGGATTCCTACTTTTTTAATGCCATTTTCCTTTTAAAGTTGCTTTCAAACAGCTCCAAGAATGAACTTTGGATGGGTAGATGTGGAGGAAGGGGCAGGGAACACCACAAATACATGCTCAACTCCAAGCATCCTTAAAAAATTCAGTCTTTTCATGGTTCTAGAGGATATTCTATCTATAGTTTTGCCCAACTGTCCTAGCACAGCACTAGCAAAAATGAACTTTGGATGGTCGATCTTGGGTTCCTACTTTTCTATACTTTTCTCGTCTCCTTTTCTTTTCACAGCTTTCTATTCAAAAACCTGCAAGACTGAACTTTGAATGGTAAGATAGTGGATTATTTCTTTTCTCATCCCATTTTCCTTTTGTGGTTTCTTTTCAAAAACCTGCAATTTCAACTTTGGATGGTAAGATCTTGGATTCCTACTTTATTAATGCCATTTTCCTTTTAAAGTGTGCTTTCAAACAGCTCCAAGAATGAACTTTGGATGGTCGATCTTGGATTCCTACTTTCTATACTTTTGTCATCTCCTTTTCCTTTCACAGCTTTCTATTCAAAAACCTGCAAGACTGAACTTTACATGGTAAGATCGTGGATTCCTTCTTTTCTCATCCCATTTTCCTTTTGTGGTTTCTTTTCAAAACCTGCAATTTCAACTTTGGATGGTAGATCTTGGATTCCTATTTTTTAATGCCATTTTCCTTTTAAAGCTTGCTTTCAAACAGCTCCAAGAATGAACTTTGGATGGGTAGATGTGGAGGAAGGGGCAGGGAGCACCACAAATACATGCTTAATCCCAAACATCCTTAAAAAATTCAGTCTTTTCATGGTTCTAGAGGATATTCTGTCTATAGTTTTGCGTCCTAGCACAGTACTAGCACAAATGAACTTTGGATGGTCGATCTTGGATTCCTACTTTTCTGTACTTTTCTCATCTCCTTTTCCTTTCACGGCTTTCTATTCAAAAACCTGCAAGACTGAACTTTGAATGGTAAGATCGTGGATTTCTTCTTTTCTCATCCCATTTTCCTTTTGTTGCTTCTTTTCAAAAACCTGCAATTTCAACTTTGGATGGTAAGATCCTGGATTCCTACTTTTTTAATGCCATTTTCCTTTTAAAGCTTGCTTTCAAACAGCTCCAAGAATGAACTTTGGATGGGTAGATGTGGAGGAAGGGGCAGGGAACACCACAAATACATGCTCAACTCCAAGCATCCTTAAAAAATTCAGTCTTTTCATGGTTCTAGAGGATATTCTATCTATAGTTTTGCCCAACTGTCCTAGCACAGCACTAGCAAAAATGAACTTTGGATGGTCGATCTTGGATTCCTACTTTTCTATACTTTTCTCATCTCCTTTTCCTTTCGCAGCTTTCTTTTCAAAAACCTGCAAGACTGAACTTTGAATGGTAAGATCGTGGATTCCTTCTTTTCTCATCCCATTTTCCTTTCGTTGCTTCTTTTCAAAAACCTGCAATTTCAACTTTGGATGGTAAGATCTTGGATTCCTACTTTTTAGATGTCATTTTCCTTTTAAAGTTTGCTTTCAAACAGCTCCAAGAATGAACTTTGGATGGGTAGATGTGGAGGAAGGGGCAGGGAGCACCACAAATACATGCTTAATCTTAATCCCAAACATCCTTAAAAATTCAGTCTTTTCATGGTTCTAGAGGATATTCTATCTATAGTTTTGCCCAACTGTCCTAGCACAGTACTAGCACAAATGAACTTTGGATGGTCGATCTTGGATTCCTACTTTCTGTACTTTTCTCATCTCCTTTTCCTTTCACGGCTTTCTATTCAAAAACCTGCAAGACTGAACTTTGAATGGTAAGATCGTGGATTTCTTCTTTTCTCATCCCATTTTCCTTTTGTTGCTTCTTTTCAAAAACCTGCAATTTCAACTTTGGATGGTAAGATCTTGGATTCCTACTTTTTTAATGCCATTTTCCTTTTAAAGCTTGCTTTCAAACAGCTCCAAGAATGAACTTTGGATGGGTAGATGTGGAGGAAGGGGCAGGGAGCACCACAAATACATGCTCAACTCCAAACATCCTTTAAAAATTCAGTCTTTTCATGGTTCTAGAGGATATTCTATCTATAGTTTTGCCCAACTGTCCTAGCACAGTACTAGCACAAAATGAACTTTGGATGGTCGATCTTGGATTCCTACTTTTCTGTACTTTTCTCATCTCCTTTTCCTTTCACGGCTTTCTATTCAAAAACCTGCAAGACTGAACTTTAAATGGTAAGATCGTGGATTCCTTCTTTTCTCATCCCATTTTCCTTTTGTGGTTTCTTTTCAAAAACCTGCAATTTCAACTTTGGATGGTGAGATCTCGGATTCCTATTTTTTAATGCCATTTTCCTTTTAAAGCTTGCTTTCAAACAGCTCCAAGAATGAACTTTGGATGGGTAGATGTGGAGGAAGGGGCAGGGAACACCACAAATACATGCTCAACTCCAAGCATCCTTTAAAAATTCAGTCTTTTCATGGTTCTAGAGGATATTCTATCTATAGTTTTGCCCAACTGTCCTAGCACAGCACTAGCAAAATGAACTTTGGATGCTCGATCTTGGATTCCTACTTTTCTATACTTTTCTCATCTCCTTTTCCTTTCGCAGCTTTCTTTTCAAAAACCTGCAAGACTGAACTTTGAATGGTAAGATCGTGGATTATTTCTTTTCTCATCCCATTTTCCTTTTGTTGGTTTCTTTTCAAAAACCTGCAATTTCAACTTTGGATGGTAAGATCTCGGATTCCTACTTTTTTAATGCCATTTTCCTTTTAAAGCTTGCTTTCAAACAGCTCCAAGAATGAACTTTGGATGGGTAGATGTGGAGGAAGGGGCAGGGAACACCACAAATACATGCTCAACTCCAAGCATCCTTAAAAATTCAGTCTTTTCATGGTTCTAGAGGATATTCTATCTATAGTTTTGCCCAACTGTCCTAGCACAGTACTAGCACAAAATGAACTTTGGATGGTCGATCTTGGATTCCTACTTTTCTGTACTTTTCTCATCTCCTTTTCCTTTCGCAGCTTTCTTTTCAAAAACCTGCAAGACTGAACTTTGAATGGTAAGATCGTGGATTTTTCTTTTCTCATCCCATTTTCCTTTTGTTGCTTCTTTTCAAAAACCTGCAATTTCAACTTTGGATGGTAAGATCTTGGATTCCTACTTTTTTAATGCCATTTTCCTTTTAAAGCTTGCTTTCAAACAGCTCCAAGAATGAACTTTGGATGGGTAGATGTGGAGGAAGGGGCAGGGAACACCACAAATACATGCTCAACTCCAAGCATCCTTTAAAAATTCAGTCTTTTCATGGTTCTAGAGGATATTCTATCTATAGTTTTGCCCAACTGTCCTAGCACAGCACTAGCAAAATGAACTTTGGATGGTCGATCTTGGATTCCTACTTTTCTATACTTTTCTCATCTCCTTTTCCTTTCACAGCTTTCTATTCAAAAACCTGCAAGACTGAACTTTAAATGGTAAGATCGTGGATTCCTTCTTTTCTCATCCCATTTTCCTTTTGTGCTTCTTTTCAAAACCTGCAATTTCAACTTTGGATGGTAAGATCTCGGATTCCTTTTTTTTTAATGCCATTTTCCTTTTAAAGCTTGCTTTCAAACAGCTCCAAGAATGAACTTTGGATGGGTAGATGTGGAGGAAGGGGCAGGGAGCACCACAAATACATGCTCAACTCCAAGCATCCTTTAAAAATTCAGTCTTTTCATGGATCTAGAGGATATTCTATCTAGAGTTTGACTATCCAACCATACATATTATATTTACATATTTTATATCATTCACATACAAAGCATATATTTCACACAGAGTGCACCTTACACACTATAGTAGCACACTCGGTCGCTTTCCGGGGCGTCCCCCACATAGGGGGGTGATGACGGGATTCTGGAATCCCGTCACGTTTTTTGGCTATGCTCCCTTTACGGGGGAGCCGAGTTGTCAGCCCCTGGCAAGATCTATAGTTAGAATATCCCTGAAAAGGTCCCGGTTGGAAAAACAATCACATGTTGTCAAAGACAATTTTCTTAATTGGATTATACCCAGTGGTATTTAACAACATGTGCTATATCAATATATTATCCAAAGTGGTATTATAATTTATGGATTCTGAAAATACCTTTTGGGCTGTATTCAAAACCACTGTTGGTTCATGATCTTATATAGAGTTTGACTATCCAACAGTTTATATCTACGTTCGAATTCAAAATCTCCAGGAGGTCCGGTGAGCACACCAACTCAACTACAAGATTGCACATCTTCAATTATCAATTATCAATTTTGTAGGGGTGATCATTTTACCCACACCCATTCCTTTATTGGGTTTGACTATTTGGGCATCCCGGGAACCAAAAATACCATTGCCAAAGAATCTACAACACATGGAATGGTTTTTGGAACCCTGCCGTTGTTAGCAGAATGCAGTAGGGAGGGGTCAGCACAGTGGTTGATACCATAGATAGAATATGAAAGAATATAGAAGAATATGGGGATGGATCAAAACCTTCTGTCCCAATTACACCCAATTCTATACAGATTACTTTTTAAAGTAGCTGGTTTCGATCGATGTCCAAATTCAAAATCTCCAGGAGGTCCGGTGAGCACACCAACTCAATTACAAAATTGCACATCTTAAATAATCAACTATCAATTTTGTAGGGATGATATTTGGACTCACACCCATTCCTTTATTGGGCTTGACTATTTGGGCATCCCGGGAACCAAAAATACCATTGCCAAAGAATCTACAACACATGGAATGGTTTTTGGAAACCTGCCGTTGTTAGCAGAATGCAGTAGGGAGGGGTCAGCACGGTGGTTGATACCATAGACAGAATATGAAGGAATATAGAAGAATATGGGGATGGATCAAAACCTTCTGTCCCAATTACACCCAATTCTATACAGATTACTTTTTAAAGTATCCGATTTTGATCGATGTCCCAATTCAAAATCTCCAGGAGGTCCGGTGAGCACACTGTAGCTAAATGGGTACGGGTCAAATTTGGCCCCAGCTCAATTTCAAAATTTCACATCTTAAAAAATCAACTATCAATTTTGGGGTGTGATAATTTGACCCACACCCATTCCTTTCTTGGATTTGACTATTGAATACCACTGCCAAAGGATCTATATTTCTGGGAACCACCAGCAACAGTGACAATTTCTTTGGAAGATTTTGGGCTGAAATTCGCATGCCAGAACCTAATACACCAGCATAATGACAACATTTGGTGGTCATTCCAAAGGCCCAAACAACCAAATCACAAGCTAAATGACCGCTTTTGTGATCATTTTTGAGGGACCTTTTTTTTACCAATCATCGACCCGGATTTTTGAGCCATTTTGGGATTCTATCTATAGGTTTTTTTCAGACCGTTTTTTTTTTGAAATTCCAGAGCTTCTATCTACTTCAGGATGGTTATATATATATATACGTGTTAAATAAGACTTCTGGTAGTTGCGTTCAGCATATTTTGTTTTTCTTCCAACTGACCTGGGAGCACTTCCCAGCTCCAAGGCGCCTGGCGCGGATGGTGCCGAGGCTGGGATCAGTGTCATGACATACTCATGGGTTTTTTAGCATAAACCAGAGTGTATACCTTCTGGTAATTTAACATAGCTATTGAAAATGGCCATTTATAGTGGATTTACCCATTAAACATTGTGATTTTCCATAGTTAAGTTAAATTACCAGAGGGTAAACCATATTAAGGAAACACATATGCGTTTTAGATGGTTTTAGTATAAGTGAAACATACTAAAAAACATCGTGACATATGGGTTTTCCTGGGTTTAATCCGAAACACACAACAGAAAGTATGGTTTAAAACACAGAAAAAACATCAGGGAACTTCATCAACCAATGGTTGACGTCATCACCAGAACATAAATTTAGGTCAGGGAATGGATGAGTGTATGTGTCGATCATGAAGCGTCTCAAATACTGTAAGACTCTGGATTAAAAAGATGTTTGCTGGAAAAGTGCCAACGGTTTGACACCAAATTCCGCTGGATTTGTGGTGATGGGTGAAAATCATACCCATATGCTTCTACTAGAAATGAAGAACCCTCATTGGTGCATATGATTTTATGGGCTTGTTGAGCCACTTGAGTCTGATTGGTTGATTGGTTCATGTTTGTTGGTCAATAGCTTTCACGCAGTCTTTTTCTGATTAAAATGTCCAGATTTTTCCTTGAGTCTGCCAATAAAGTATCCACATGTGGTTTGTACCCTGGGTCCAAATCGGCTTGGAAATCCTCAGAAGATACTTGGATCCAGAGGGGGCTGTTTAGGTGGTTGTAGCCTTAGACAGGTTTGCTTCTGTTTCATCCCTAAATCACGCAAGATCCTCATGGCTGATTGTCGATCCCCCCGAGAGGATTCATCTCCACTTGTCAGATGGTTTAATTACTGTGTTTATCTCACAATGTATTGTTGGTTGTATGTTTGTTGCTTGAATGGCATTGAAATATTGAACTTATTCAAGTTTGGTCTAATTAATCTAGTTATATGTACACCAACTTATATCTTTAATATATATATATATATACACATACACAAATATCTATATATTAACAGATATGATATACGATATATATATATATATATATATGTGTGTGTTGTGTCTGTGTGTAATATAGTAGTCATTATATATTTGAAATAATATGTAAACATAATATATTGTGTAATATGATTATATAATTTACTGTAAAGGTATACTGTGATATATATATATATATATATATATTGTACATATATATTTATATACCAGTAGTACCGCACAAGGCCGTGGCGGAAGTTTCAAAAATAGAAAACCTATAGGAGAGGTTGGTTGTTGTGACTCACGGATGGCAGAGCGAATCCACTGATGGACAGAAAGGTGATTGATCTCTCTCAGTCTTTCCCTCTCTTTTGCTCTCTTTCTCTCTCTTTCTTTGATTATCTACCTACCTACCTACCGATCTATCTATCTATCCATCCATCCATCTATCTATCTATCTATCTAGCTATCTATCTATCTATCTATCTATCTATCTATCTATCTATCTATCTATCTATCTATCTATACATCTATCCATGTGTCCATCTATCCATCTATTCTATCTATCCATTTGTCTATCTTTCTAGCTATCTATCTTTCTTTCTTTCTATCTCTTGGTCTGTCTGTCTATCTATCTATCTGTCTATTTACCTATCTATCCATCTATCTATCTATCTATCTATCTATCCATCCATCAAACCATCTATCCATCTATCCATCTATCCATCTATCCATCTATACATCTATCCATCTGTCCATCTATCCATCTATTCTATCTTTCCATTTGTCTATCTTTCTAGCTATCTATCTTTCTTTTTTTCTATCTCTTGGTCTGTCTGTCTGTCTGTCTGTCTGTCTGTCTATCTACTTGTCTATCTGCAAGCTTGAAAACCTTGCTATTCTACGAGACTTCTTCATTTTTCCAAGTTGACAACATCAAAAACGCAGCACTTCTGCGAGACTTCCTCATTTTTTGAAGTTGACAACATCAAAAACGAAGCAATTCTGCGAGACCTGCACATTTTTTGAAGTTGACCACATCAAAAACGAAGCAATTCTGCGAGACTTCCTCATTTTTCAAAGTTGACAACGTCACAAACGAAGCACTTCTGCGAGACTTCTTCAATTTTTCAACTTGACAACATCAAAAACAAAGCAATTCTGCGAGACTTCCTTCAAAAATGGCAGAGCTAGCAGCTTCGTACCAATGCGTTTTGCGATTTTTTCCAGTCCACCTGTCGAAAGTATTGCGCCTGCCACGAAAAAGTGATGCCAAGTCATACGAAGTGCTGCACCTGTCACGCAAAATCATCTCAGCAAACCTGAAGATCTGATGCTACAAAATGCAGCCTCTCTCAGGAAATCAGCGCCCTGACCTCCTAACATCTCTGATGAACGTGTCTTTTGTACTGCGCCTGGCACGCGACATGCATCTTTGAAGATCCTCTTCAAATGTCCCACGCCTGCCATCGCTTTTGGAAATGCTACAGAACCCTCACGTTTTGCTCACCTTAAGGTGCACAATCCCTTGCGCCTGCCAGGTGAAAGTACTCCGTACCCGTCAGTTTTTTGCACTTTTGACATCTTTTGACTTCAAAATGTGCTTCGCGCCACAACGGCGTGCACTTTTTCGACATCTCAACTTCCAAAGGTGGTCCGGAGCTGGTGTGTTTTGTACATTTTGACTTCAAATTCTGCTTCGCGCCACAACGGCGTGCACTTTTTCGACATCTCAACTTCCAAAAATGGTCCAGAGCTAGTGTGTTTTGTACATTTTGACTTCGAAATGCGCTTCGCGTCACAACGGCGTGCACTTTTTCGACATCTCAACCTCCAAAAGTGGTCCGAACCTGGTGTATTTTGTACATTTGGACTTGCAGATGTGCTTCGCGCCACAATTGCGTGCAATTTTTCATCTCTCATCTGGCCAGATGGCTCCGCACCCGCCGCTTTAGCGAGCCTACTTTTCGACCCTCCGGAGCCACAAATTATTGGAAAAACATAGTGTTTCGCGACTTTCCTACCTTTTCGCGCATCTGCATTTTTTTTCTTCTGACTCTTTCTCTTCTCTGATCTGCTCTCTTCTACTCTTCTCTCCTCTCTGCCTCTGCCCATCTCTGCTTTTCATCTGTCCATATTGTCGGAAGTTTGACTTCTAAACTTCCTTCGATAATGTACAGTGTTTATATATATATACTCTATGTATTATCATATGTATAGTATACAAGTTTTAAGTTGTTTAATATATATATTACACGGCTATATATCTGATATACTATAAAGCATTATATATATATATATACATACTAGACTATGTATGCATTTGTGTTGTCATGTGTATATATATATATTTAAATACACATACATACGCGACTCAAGATACTAGGATATAAATCCATACATCTATCAAAGTGTCTCCCAGTTTCTGGAGATGAAATTCCTATGGCCCACCACAACTGTCAGGGCCCCAAGGATGGGGCAGCCGCTACCGCCCCGGCGCCCGTTGAAGCCGTGCCCAACGGAACAGCCGCTAGCGTCGCGGCTGGACAGCCAGGCCCAGCGGGGACACCAGGGGGACCTCCGGCTGGGTTTGTATGATTCCAAGGGATCAAAGCCTAATTTTCGCCAGACCTCCAGTATAAATCCGAAAAAAAAAACAATGTTCTGACAAAGCCTTTATTTGGTTCACTTGGCATTCATTCTGTAGTGATTATGGGAGGGGGCCCTACAAGGTGAGACCACAAGTACCTTAAGTCTTGGGTCACAGAATCCCTAGGTCACAGAATCCCTAATCAAAGGGGTTCAGCAGAAATGTAGTAGCATCAATCCCTTAGGTTTTTGTTGAGACCCTGATCATTGGAATACTTTTGGGGGGATGTCATTTGTCGGAGGTCAAAGTCTACCTGCAAAAAACCAGAGTCCGGTCCTGAGATGGCAAGGAATGTGTTTAGTGAGGAATGTGCGGAATATTACAGTACCTGGACGGTCCCAAATTGGGAAGAAACTGACGATTTGAATCGATTTTGGGGTTGAACATGGATCCGTTGTCTACGGTAAATGGGCCTATTAAGGCTATTAAATGATAAATGTAGATCAAACGTTATATGGTTCCCCATACCTGTTGGTCCATATCTGCCAGTTTCATTGCTTAGATCTACATGATAATCTCAATATTGTTATTTGATTTTTAAGGATTCTCATAGTTTCATTGCGTAAATCCATGTAAATCCCCCATTATCATCCTCAAATTTTGATATAGATGTTCTTAAATTTGCATGGATGTTCCATCGATTTTCATGGATTTCCATTGATTTTCATGGGATTGTCATGGATCCACGGATTTTCTCTATTTCTCATCTTTTCATGGGCTAATGGGCCAACATCCAGGCCGTGAGCTTTACGATGCCTGTTGGTACGGTGACTTTGATGGTGCCTACGACGCCCTGGAGGTGCCCGGGGCAAGTTGGTGCCTTGGTTTCCCTTGGTTTCCCTTGGATCGAATGGAAATCAGATGAAATCAGACTAAACAATCCAACTGTGTTTTTGTTGCTGGGTATCCAACCCATGTGCTCCATGTACTTATCATATTTATGTAACGTTTATCCCATGTTTAATCATCCAGTTCTGTAGAGAAACATACTAACACCATGGAGATCCATGGAGCATCCGAGTAGGCCGGAGCTGACTGCAACGCCACCTTTGGAGTGCGGAAGATCTGCGTTTCTTGACCAAAGTTCTGTATGCGAAAGAACCTAAGAAGATGCCGAAAGGTGATTCCAGTATGTGACACACTGTAGATAGATGCTGTTTATCTTCTTCTTTTCCAGTTTTTCAATATTTTAGCTGTATCTTTTGGGATTGCTATAATCATAAGGATTGCTGACACAATGTATATGGAACTAACTTGACAATTGTTCTGAGGGATTTGACCAAGATGCGGAAATGCTACAGACATGATTAGTTCCGATGGGTAGTTCCTTAAGGCCAGGCGGTAAATATACGTATACGTACATGGCTTGTAGGTCTTAAGGCATTTTTAATCTTAAAGAAAAAATGGCTGAGTCTATTTGTTTGTCCGCTTGGCGTGGAGGGCTCTTTCAGGTGTAGAACAGTGAGTATTCGATATGTTGGGGCCGGTGAAAACATCAGTAGCGTTTGTGGGATTAGATCCCTGTTTTTGGTGAGATCCAATTCTTGAATATGTAATTCACATTTTGTTTTGCTTTGGTTTCCATATTTGTTAGGATGAAATTACCAATTTGAGTTGGTTACATCCCCAGATTAGCAACGTTGACCCCAAATTGCACACCACTCAGATCACTCCACCCACCATCACACCGATTCTCATGCGCAATGCGCTGAGTCCTTGCATGTGGCGGCTCGCACGGGGAACACGGCCATCATGAACATGTCACCCGGCTTTCAGCAATGGGTGCTGACAGACGTGTATGTGTCAAGACTGAGGTACCAATGCATCTTGGTGTTTTTCGTATATATGTTTATATATGTATGTGTATATATATAATTATATATACATATACACATATATAATTATATATTATATAATATGTTTGAAATTCAGCCATACGTTTTTTGTGGTACTTGAAGGTTTTTCTCATCGTTATGTTCCCGACTTGCCATTTTCGGATCCATTTCCCGGAGCTTTTTGTTGATGGATTCATTGGGAAGCGTCTCGGATCGCCATTCTTGGCATTTCTTGGCTTTATATCCCATTAAGATATATCCAAGAATTAAAATATCCAGAAATTATAAAGTCCCATTTCCGATGATATCCAGATATATCCAGCTATAGCTCCATGAAATCCATGAAATGGATTGAAATGGTTGGTTGTTTGAAGTCAAATGCCATGAAATCCATTAACTCCCGTGAAATCTCATCTGAGATCTGACATGGCTGTCATATCCCATGAAGCCCATCAAAATTCCCAGCCTATCACTGCCTGTCGGCGATATCGACTGCCAGAGGTTGTTGAGCTCTGCGCCGCAGGTTGACCTGCGAAATAAGGCCGGGAAGGTGGGTCGACCCAAAGATGATGATTTACATTATGTTTATATATATATATATGTATATATATATATAGGATGGTTTAAAATGAAAATCATTCCAAAGTCATAAATGAATTCAAAATAATTCAAATGAGAAAGATGATTTTTTGTTAAACAAACAACTAGAAACATTGGAAACAATGGCTTATTTTCTTAGTTATTTACAGCTTCAGATATTTGATCAGACGAATTCTTAGAGTCTGAGAGGTTGTATTTTGTTCAGGCAGATGGGATTTAAAAACAGTCTTTATTTTGTGTTGAGCATATTGTAGAAACCAATCCACGATGGTAATCCTTGGAAGCTCTTGTAACGTACACCATGGGCTATTGGAAACCATTATGATCCATGGTGTTGGTATATATGCTAACATTTGGGGTATATGGTATATTGATGGTAAAGCTTACCATATATAGCATACATGGATCCTATTATATAGTAATGTAATTTGATATCACACAATTTTAATATATAGATATATATAATTAATATAATTAAAACAACGGCGGTTCATATCTCATACGCAGCAAATATATACATATATATATATATACATATTTCCCACTTCGACGCGGCCTTCAGGACGGCGAGACACCGTTGTTCGGTGCTGTGACCGAAGGACATGTGGGCACGACACAGGTGGAGTCGGTGGATGGTTGGCCAATGGTGAAATCATTGGTAAATATGAGGTACCCTCCAGTAAAATTACTTCACTTCGAATGATCCCCACCATGACATTTATACATTTTCTTACTGGCAAATCTTCTAGCAATCTATCTGACATATCTTCTGACATTCTATTTGGCATTCTATCTGGCATATCTTCTGGCATTCTATCTGGCATATCTTCTGGCATTCTATCTGGCAAATCTTCTGGCATTCTATCTGGCATATCTATCTGGCATATCTTCGGCATATTTTCTGGCATTCTATCTGGCAAATCTTCTGGCATTCTATCTGGCATTCTATCTGGCATATCTTCTGGCATTCTATCTGGCATATCTTCTGGGATTCTATCTGCTATATCTTCTGGCATTCTATCAGGCATATCTTCTGGCATTCTATTTGTTATATCTCATGTCATTTTATCTGGCATATCTTCTGACATTCTATCTGGCATATCTTCTGACATTCTTTCTGGCATTCTATCTGGCATATCTTCTGACATTCTATCTGACATCTTTTCTGACATTCTTCCCGTTGAGGTCCGGCAGTGCCCACTACGATCTGGAAGTCGCGGTTGGAAGTCGCGGTTGAGGTCCGGCAGTGCCCACTGGAATCTGGAGCTCGCGGTTGAGGTCCGGCAGTGCCCACTGGGATCTGGAGCTCGCGGTTGAGGTCCGGCAGTGCCCACTGCAACCTGGAAGTCGCGGTTGAGGTGCGGCAGTGCCCACTGGGATCTGGAGCTCGCGGTGGAGGTCCGGCAGTGCCCACTGGGATCTGGCGCTCGCGGTGGAGGTCCGGCTGTGCCCACTGGGATCTGGACTGCGAGGAGGAGGAGGCGGAGGAGGTGGAGGAGGCGGATGCGGAGGCGGAGGAGGAGGAGGAGGAGGAGAACAGCTCTGATAAAATCTAACAACCCTCACCTGGCAGGTGGGGAATAACATAGTTTTTGAAAATGGCCCATTGATAGATGATTTACCTACTATTACTAAAATGATGATATTCCAATCATTGTCTTAAATTGTATCTTAAATTACAGGAGGGTATACATAGCACCATTTAAAGTATGCCAAATTAAGAGGCGTAAGCAGTGGATTTTAGGATACACCTACTTTCAGACAAAAACCATATAGTGGTTTCACATGGTTTGAGTACCATATTAACAGACTCAGTGGTATCGAATGGTTCATAGTGGGGATAGGATGGGAGACGCTGGGATGTATAGCCAGCAATATGATGCACGGGTTAGTCCCATCATTTTTTGTTACAAATATATATATATATGTATATATATATATATATACACACATTGATATCGTCTAGACTGGAATGTATAATCACCAATACCGACAGCAAGAAAATATGATTGCCTGGCATATAATGACCATTGGGAATCAACAAAAGTCAGGATTATCTCGAGCATTTCTAAGGGACATCACGAAAATGGGCGTCCAAGTGGGATGATCCCGGACCATTTTGTTGTTTGATTATTGTACCTATGGAAAAACGCTGGTGTTTCATAGCCATGTGAAAGTACCGCAGAAAAGAGTTTGTTCCCCACCTGCCAGGTGAGGGTTGTTAGATTTTATCAGAGCTGTTCTCCTCATCCTCCTCCTCCTGCTCCGCCTCCTCCTCCTCCTCTTCCTCCTCCTCCACCACTTCCGCCTTGCCAACTCGTCGCCACTTCCGCGCGCAGTGGGCACTGCTGGACCTCAACAGCCGGCTTCCGATCTGAGTGGGCACGGCTGGACCTCAACCGCCAGGTTCTGAGCGCAGTGGGCACCGCTGGACCTCAACCGCCAGGTTCCGAGCGCAGTGGGCACTGCTGGACCTCAACAGCCGGCTTCCGAGCCCAGTGGGCACTGCTGGACCTCAACCTGGGACCTTCAGAGCTCAGTGGGCACTGCTGGACCTCAACCTGGAACCTTCAGAGCTCAGTGGGCACCGCTGGACCTCAACGGCCAGATAGAATGCCAGAAGAAGAACGCCAGATAGAATGTCAGAAAGAATGCCAGAAGATATACCAGATAAAATGCCAGAAGATATGACAGATAGAGCCAGAAGATATGCCAGATAGAATGCCAAAAGGTATGCCAGATAGAATGTCAGATAGAATGCCAGAAGGTATGCCAGATAAAGTGCCAGAATGTTTGCCAGATAGAACGCCAGAAGATTTGCCAGATAGAATGCCAGATAGAATGTCAGAAGATATGCCAGAAGATATGCCAAGTAGAGTGCCAGAAGATATGCCAGAAGATATGCCAGGTAGAATCAGAATGCCGGAAGATATGCCAGATAGAATGCCAGAAGATATGCCAGATAGAATGCCAGAAAGTATGCCAGATAAAATGTCAGATAGAATGCCAGAAGGTATGCCAGATAAAGTGCCAGAATGTTTGCCAGATAGAATGCCAGAAGATTTGCCAGATAGAATGCCAGATAGAATGTCAAAAGATATGCCAGAAGATATGCCAGATAGAATGCCAGAAGATATGCCAGAACATATGCCAGAAGATATGCCAGGTAGAATGCCAGAAGATATGCCAGATAGAATGCCAGATCGAATGCAAGAAGATATGTCAGATAGAATGCCAGAAGATTTGCCAGTAACAAATCGATAAATGTCATGGAGAGGATCACACGAAGTAAAGTAATTGTTTTTTCCCCACCTGCCAAGATTTTATCAGAGCTGTTCTCCTCCTCCTCCTCCGCCTCCGCATCCGTCTCCTCCACCTCCTCCGCCTCCTCCTCCTCGCAGTCCAGATCCCAGTGGGCACAGCCGGGCCTCCACCGCGAGCGCCAGATCCCAGTGGGCACTGCCGGACCTCCACCGCGAGCTCCAGATCCCAGTGGGCACTGCCGGAACTCAACCGCGACTTCCAGGTTGCAGTGGGCACTGCCGGACCTCAACCGCGACTTCCAGGTCGCAGTGGGCACTGCCGGACCTCAACCGCGACTTCCAGATCGCAGTGGGCACTGCCGGACCTCAACCGCGACTTCCAGATCGCAGTGGGCACTGCCGGACCTCAACGGGAAGAAAAGATGTCAGATAGAATGTCAGAAGATATGCCAGATAGAATGCCAGAAAGAATGTCAGAAAGAATGTCAGAAGATATGCCAGACAGAATGTCAGAAGATATGCCAGAAAGAATGTCAGAAGATATGTCAGATAGAATGTCAGATATGCCAGATAGAATGCCAGAAAAAATGTCAGAAGATATGCCAGATAAAATGTCAGATAGAATGCCAGAAGATATGTCAGATAGAATGCCAGAAGATATGCCAGATAGAATGCCAGAAGATTTGCCAGATAGAATGCCAGAAGATATGCCAGAACATATGCCAGAAGATATGCCAGATAGAATGCCAGATAGAATGCCAGAAGATATGTCAGAAAGAATGTCAGAAGATTTGCCAGTAAGAAAATGTATAAATGTCATGGTGGGGATCATTCGAAGTGAAGTAATTTTGTGTGAATCCCAGTCAGCTTCTAGTTATCCCTAGCTATGGGTTGTTCTAAATATGTCACAGTTCGAAAAACAAAAACCAGGGGCTACAAAAAAAACGCACCATTGCAGTTTGTCCAATAAATAGGCATACCCAAAAAAACTATGGTTTGAAAGTTCAAACTACAATTTACCATAATTTACCCATCAAAGAAGTGTGTCTCAAAATGGGGAGGTATATCCCATGCCATCACTATCTTATATATCTTATGCCATCAAAATCCCATGTGGAGTTTACCCAGCACGAATAACATACGATAATATCAATTTCCACATCATTTCCACAATAGTATCCTATAGTCATGATGTTCTTAATACATGTTACATGGCCATCAAATCCCAATCTATCAACTCAGTATCTTATTTCTATATTTTTTATGCCACTTAAATCCCATAGATTGCACTTTCGGGCCAGGCCCTGGTGGAAGCTCGGGCGGATGTCAACGCCCGGGACCACGAAGGTGTGTGGTCGCCGGTGAACCCCGCGGTGTGTGGATGTTGCACCGTGAGAAATCCATGGGGAAAATCTGGGAAACCGGGAGAAAAAACAGGGGAAGAGCCTGGAATTTTCGAAAATCATATGAGAATTTAAAACATCATCTAGTTGAAAAAGGTTGAACAGCTGGAGATAAAGATGGAAAAACAGCATCTCTAAACCAGGAAATTAAATGAACATGGGGGAAGATCGAACTACAATCCTGTACACTGGCACTTTCCGGCATCTTTGCGGGAGTTATCCAAGAAACCCTACAAGACTTGTACCGCAGGCAGAAATGATCGACCCAAGATGATCGCCGGTTCTTTTGTCGATTACACTCCCTCCAAATAAGTGTCCAATCTTGGGGTGTGCAGTTTTCAGGTTCTCTCTTGGTTTGGGCGGTATATGCTTCTACTTTTTGTTTGCTGTGGATTAAACATGGTTAAACGGATACTGAAACGGTAAACTTCAACTTTGTCGAGATGATACATGACGATACCAAGTTAAATCCATATCCCCATGATATCCCGATCATGGTTGGCGTTGTACACCAGTTGAACAGTTGGCAGGAAGGACGGTTCTGCAGATTGCCGAAACTCGCGGCTACCAGGATGGGACGTGGAAAATTGTGCTAATGTGGTGAGTAAACCCAATCAATCAGACCCCATCCCCGATGACTTACCAGAGATCGGTGGGATTCCAATCATCCCCTTTGATGGTAGGTTTATGGCACTTATTCCCACCACAACTACAACTGCATAATCAATGCATCTGGGGATGGCCAAAAGGATTGAACGGGGTAGCCTATCTTCAGAATCATCTGCCGGTTCTATTGTGTCACAACCCAGTCACTGACCATTTGGCCTTTGCTAATCCAACCTCGCCACGGGAAAAATTGCTGGTTTGTAGATGATTTACATGGATTTACCTGTTAAAAATGGTGGTTTTTGATAGCAAACTGTTGGAGTATCAGGGGGTACCAGCTCCCAACATGGTCCCAACATCCCCAGAACCGCCCAACCTCAAAGTGGCAGGATTTTGTGGAGTTCCTCACATCCTGCGGGGCGAAGGCTTGTTGATGTGTGGCTTACGTGGCTCTGTTTAGGGGCCCAAGTTGAAACCCACTGACATTTCCCGGACATACCCTGGATGGGTACTTTAGTACTAATCTTTTGTCATGAGTCATAACTTAATAACTATGAATATGTTGTAACATAAAATATTTATATATTTACAACCAGCTAAACGCGTAGTTTGTCGCAGGAATTTCCAAGGTCATGGCCATGTATTTGTGAGTGTTGTCATCCTAGTCTTTCAAGGCGGGCACTGCCGAGACTGCTGAGACTGGCGGCTGAAAAAGAGGGGCGGCCGGCAGGTTGGGTTGCTTTGAGGAGTTGAAAGTGGTGGGGATGGTGAATCTTCATAACCCCATCCCCCTTAATATCAATTCATACCACATCTAGCCGGTCCCAAATATGTGTAAATACCCTAAGAAACCATGCTTTATCATTGTTTGATACTGTAATATGGGGAATTTTCAATCATATGCTCACATGTCAGTGAGGATTTTTCGATAATTCCATATTTGAACCACTTCAGCAGGGATGACCTTTTTCCCGACTGCGTAGCAAGGGTTCCCGTTTCACTCTGGGGGTCTGGGGGTTGAGGGTGTGTTCGCTTGACGCTGACCAACCGTCCGCACTGTTCGCAACCGTTCGCGCGAGGTCGCTTGGCGAGTTCTGCAAAAGGGGTCACTTTTTGGAGGTTCCAAACCTCGCGTGGCTTCGTTTCGCGTGGCAGGGGTGGCACTTTGTAACATTTTAACCTGTTTGATAACGTGTCGAAAGTCGTTTTGTGTGGCAGGCGCAATACTTTTGCGTCGTTTTCAGAAGATGAGTTGCATTTTCATGGCAGTTGCAGCACTTTGGAGACCTCAATTGTCATTTTGCGTGGCAGGCGCAGCACTTCGGACGTGTCATCGATTTTGAGGTAGCAAATTTTGAGGTTCATGAGAAAACTGGTAGGAAAACGTTGATTTTGAAGCTACAAAGTATGAACATTGGTTGATTTTACACTCCACACTTTACGGTCCACAATTTACACTTTAGACTCCACATTCTGCACTCCACACTCTGCACTCCACACTCCACTCCACACTTTACACTCCCCACTCCGCACTCCACACTTTACACTGCACACATTGCACTCCACACTTTACACTTTACACTCCAAACTCCACACTTTACACTCCACACTCCACTCTTTACACTCTACCTCCACACTTTACACTTTACACTCCGCACTCAACACTCTAACTTTACACTCCACACTCTACACTTCACACTCTACACTCTACACTTTGCACTCCACACTTTACACTCCACACCTTAAACTCCACACTCTACACTCCACACTTTACACTCCACACTCCACGCTTTGCACTCTACACTCCACGCTCAATACACTTTACACTCCACACTCCACACTTTACACTCTATACTTTGCACTTCACACTCTACACTCCACACTCTACGCTCCACACTTTGCACTTTACACTCCAAACTCCACACTCCACACCACACTCCAAACTTTACAGTCCACACGCCACACTCTACACTTTACACTTTATACTTTACACTCCACACTCCACACTGTACACTCCACACTTTACACTCCACACTTCACACTCCACACTACACTCTATACTTTACACTCTACACTCTACACTCCACACTCTACGCTCCACACTTTACACTTTTGCACTCGACACTGCACAGTTTACACTTTGCACTCGACACTGCACAGTTTACACTCCACACTCCACACTTTGCACTCTACTCTCTTTCGCATTCCGTAGTCTACAGTGCACTGGTACGGTAAGAGGGAAAATGTACAAGACTCTTCAAACTTGTTTCACAAAAGTTTTCTACGTGACTGCATTCGGGTTCGTGTTCGTGGGCTGTATCTTGTTTTTTTTGTACAATGATGATGGGGGTATCAATTCATATGTCCATAGTAGTTTTTTACAATAGATATCCATCTATCAATATTCGGCAATCGATCCAAAGGTCCTTCTAAATAGTTTTATTTGCGAAGACCGTTCATGTTATGTTGGAAACTCTCGCAGAAGTTTTTATCGAGTTTGCGAAAGTAACATTTCTATTCAAACAAAATGGTCGTTCTCGGACAAAGGAATTTTGATCAATGACCGTATATACATATATATATACATTTAATTATATTTATTTATTTATTTATTTATGACTGACAATATATGCAATTTATATTTGCATGATATATCCCTGTCACATACATACCAATCAGTTTGATTATCATGATATGAAAATCAGGTCCATTGACATTGGTTGTTTGTTAATTATATATCGTTCATAAATTGCATATATTTCATCAGCATGTTTATGCCCATATTATGTCCTAAATAACATGCGTATTTGTAATAGTATATAATAGTTATATAATATTCCATTAACTTCATATATTAACATATTCCCATGAGGTACAATAAATTATTCAGTGTTAAATCTATATACATATCATGGGAAAAATGTTATTCATAAACAATATTTTTTTTGGTTTCCCATAGACTTCATGGAACTTCCCATTATAAATCCCCAATTTTTTTGCCATCAAAAAACCAGTCCCAAACGGCAGGAAACACGTGGTCTTCGGCGAAGTCTTTAGCGGCATGGATCTGCCACTTGCTGGTCGAGGAGGTCGATGGTTTTAAAGATGTTTTACTGTAGAACATGAGGCTACCATGGGAATATATGGTGTTTATTGGCGTTTATTGATGTTCACATGTTTTCATATGTGTTTACATAATGTGTTTGTGTTGAATGCTTGATGTTTGATGTACGGTGTCAGATTCAAAACGCAGTTAAAATTTAAACGACCTTGACATTGAATTGTTTATGCGTATCACATGCATTTGATGATGAATCATGACGCATTCATCAATATATACATGTACCAACCCATTAATCCTTTAACTCTCGTTCAGGAGAGGACATCCGGTAGGAATTTCTTATTGTCATTATGAATTATTTAGTTTATTTTTTTTGAAATTGGTATAGTGGCGCAGTAGTTTGTTGTTCACCTCAAGTATATCCCCACAAGCATCACCAAGCATCACCAAACCCGTTTGCGGTCGAAAATTCAGCTTGGGAATGCCGTCAGAAGCTCCCCACTGAGCCGAAGGTGTATCATCCGGATTCGTCAAACATAGCTAGCTGCTAGCTTGGAAATTCCAGACCTAAATGCATCTAGTATTATTAGATATATTATATAGATATTTTGATTATCCATAAATGCATAGTTTGCTGGATAATTATCCATTTATCTATATACAATCAGATTATATATATATATATTTAATAGATAAATGGATAATTATCCAGGAAACCATGGTTGATTTGCACAGGGTATATTTCAAATACAAACAACAATAGGGTTTTCACAATTTACTTAGCCTAAGGGGAGTTGATGGTGATAAGTATCACCTTAGTGAAGTCACTATCATTGTGGTGTAACATGGGGTAAACTTTCGGTGGGGATAGAGCCTGTCGACCCTGGAATCCCCTGACCGTGTTCGAATTCAGCGGAATGTGTGAATCAGAAGGTGGATTGGTTTAGATCTTTAGATCTTGCTATGGGGTCAACAATCAGGCAAAACATGGCAAGATGATGCGGAAATTGTGATACTATCATATGATGTCCATGTCCACTTTAGGTGAGGCTTGACTGCGGTCAAAAGATGGCTACTCCATGCACTAACTCTCAGGACGCAATGGGACTCTTCAAATTGATAGCTATGAAAGGGCTGATACCATCGGGATATATTGTGATCCATTAGGATCAACATGTTGTATCCATTCAACAAATTCCTCATTGACAACCACTAGGATGATTCCCCAAAGGTCAATAATACCCTGGGTCAAACTAAGATAATTAGATGTGATGATGTGGAAAACCAACGGTTCCCCCTAGAAAAAGATCTACAAATGGTGGCTTTTCCAGATCTATGTTGGTTTAATTCTTGTCGCAAGTTGAGGTTCCCTCCTTTGCTGGTGAAACTCAACATGGCTTGATAGCATTGATATGGCCACCTAGTGCCACCTAGGCTGGCCGATTTGGAGAAGCTGGAGACGAACGAAGAGTGCAGGTGAGGGCAAAGTCAAGGATGACTTATAGAGTGATCCCCACCAACTCACATTTCATCTACAGTATTTCATCTGATTTTGTTTTACATTCATCCGGCATTCTATTTGTCACATCTTCTGACGACCGTAAATCATAGAAAATACAAGTACATAATTTTATCATCAGTTGTATACATACATTGAATTTGATTCAGAGTTTGATTGAGAATCCCTCGGGGTACATCTAACTTGGAAATTGAGTGGCTTGGATCCTCAACTGTAGAGACATGGTGTCTTCGTGACTCCAGCAGTCAGCCCGGCTGCGAATGATTGGTGCTAAATTCTCACAATGGTCGAGTCTTGTTGGTGTGTCTCACAATCTTTGTTGGCAAATCCCAGATTTTTCAGTTGGATCAGTTGGGAGTTTCTTCAAATGGAGGTACCCCTAAATCATCCATATTTTGAGAGGATTTTCCATTTATAAACCAACCATTTTGGGGATTTCCAATCTATGGAGCCCCCCATTTCCTGCCATGGCTGTGGATCTTGATCCAGAGGCCCCTGGTGGACTGTGTGGTCGTTGACTGCGGAGCTGATCTGGCCAAAGGCCGTTGGGATATGAACCAAATATTAGCACTAGGATGACATGATATCCTGCCAAAATTGGAAAAAGTTTGTGTGTTTGTTTCCAACTGGTACAGTTGGAATGTGCTTGATGTGTTTTTTTTAATGAACTCTTGCTGTTCAACAAAAACAGAAAGCTGAAATAACACCTTGCAGCAAGAAATGCAGACAAAGATCCTGTGAGTGGCACTCACTGTCCATACATAAAACTCCTGTCAGTTTGTTGTTTGGTTTCCCAATATTTCATACAATTCAGAGTTGTATATAGTATTCTAGTAACCGAGTATATACTATTATCAGCCCCAATATGTTCAACATTGTTCAACGTTTTCAGTACAATGTGTAGCTCGCGTATGTTCATTAAACATATTGCATGATTTCAGTGCACCCCAATGTGGTCAATCCAATTTCATGAGCCATCCCCCAAAACCAGCAACTTTATGGATGCGTTCCCAACCATCCCCAGTCATAGTAGGTTTATGGCCGGTTTCCCACATGTTTTCTGCAGGTCCTTCACCAGCCTGAACAAGGGGCGGACAAAACACTGCAGCGCTGCCAAAATCTGACAATGAGTTAAACATGGGGATCCCGTTGGAGACGATATTTATTCAAGGATCGTGTAAGTGTATTGTGTATTTAATTCCACTTAAGCCATCGTTGGGGGTATGTTGGCGTAGCTTGGGATGGTGAATAAGAAGCAGGCAACAACCTGAGTTGTTGTTTTTTTTTTTTTTTTCCGGTGGACAAATGAAAATTGCAAGACGGATAACAGGGCAAACATTGGTTTTGAAGTTGGTTAGAGATTGGTCATGCATGTTTCAATGTGTTTTGTTTGTGGCCCCCTGCCTTGAACTGCATTGTTGTTGTCGGACATTATCGGATAGGTGTTCATCCAAACATAGGCTATGGACGTGTTATGGGAAAAAAGGCCCACATCGGCCATTGACAAATTGAGGACTGGAAACAACCATTGGTGAGAGGGTGAAAGATCTACTGGCCAAACATAAACATGAACACACCATGGGCCGAACATGACGGATGTTGTCACGTTTTCAATCAAGGCGTAACATGAAGGATGAAGGCATTGACGATGAAGATTCTGATTTTTGCTGGATCGCCCAAAAGGACCATGGTCTTTTGGTCGAAAAAGCTTGGGCTCAGATATAGAGGCCATGAAAGATGCCGCGGATGCTGACATCTGCATTTAAGACACAACTTAAAGGCACTACAGGCACTGCATTCTATAAGTCAGATCTCAGCTGTACATGTTGCAAGGCGGCAGCAGTTCTATGTTTGAGCCATGTTGCGATGTCTCCACTAGGCACATGAACAGTGAAAACATGGCAAGGCTGATGTGCCCGATAGCACTCACAGACTCACAAAACACTGGAAATGGCTGACTGCTTGTCATACACTTCAGCCCCAAGTACCAGTTGTCGGTAGTGTCATCACCAAGAGTACCAACACATTGCCCAGTAATTATATATTTGACATATTTACAAGTGGGGCACTAGGCAATATGTCAACCCACTGGAAAAATAACTTCTCCTTGATGCAGTTGCCCCAGAGCCATGTCAGTGGAGGCTGGGGATGCCTAGGGTTGGGGTAGGAGGCACAACCTCCCGCGAAGATGGGGTTGTGACCGAAACTGCCTGGTGCTTTACGGTCCGTTCATCGTTGTCATCTTGATGAGAATTGGAACAGGAAACATGCATCATTGAGGCACATATGAGACCGCAGACATGTCCATATGACTAATGGTCATGCTTACTATTCTGGAATATGGCAACGTTCAACAAAACCACCTCTGAACAATGAAGTATCACACGTATGAATAGAAACCGCCTTGGAGTACAGTAGATGATCTCAAATAATTTGACATCGCCAATCTGTAAATCGTCGAAACCATGAGCACAGATAATATCTCAGTAATAAATATCGCGCACGCACACACACACAGATATTTATATATCTATAATTATACATATATATATATACTACTCCATGTTGGTTGACGGGTACAATTCTATCACTTGAATATGTTTTGACCTTTCATATATAGACAACAAAACAATATGCATGCCCTCTGTCAGCTAGCCTTGCCGGTGAAAAAGCCTGCAGAATTCCAGCAGTTGACCCAGTCTAGTGGGTTTCTAAGGCCAAATATCATTGGCTGATGTTTCATGATGTCCCAAAACTACCTTGCCATTTACCATTCATCTAAATACTTTAGGGATCTTTAGGGATTCTCCAATTCAATAACTCTCCATCCGCTGTGATTTTTCGCAGTCCAGAACTTGGATCACTTGCATCACTTGGATCATGGTGCATGAAACCCTCTCAGGACACAAGGACGCAAGAAGGGTAGAAGGGTCCCTACTTGGATGTACATCCCACTCACTAAGTGGTTGATAACGCAACTCGCCATGGCAACTCGTGTCCCGCGACCGATCCTGGGTATCCAATCCGTTTGAATTCGTGTTGTGTTCATTACCCTCCGGTAAATTATTCAAACGGATTACAACTAGTGTATATATAATACATATATATATATGTATATTAATAGTGGTTAATAGTGGTTAGTGCCAAAAAACAAACATAGCTATGGAATGCTATGGAAATCACAATCTTTAAGTTCGGTAAATCAACTATTTCTATCGGCCATGGCTTCAATAGCTATATAACAAATTACCAGAGGGTTTTATCATGAAGGATGCTGTATTCATGGACCACCCCCAGCGGCAGTGCTCCATGTCATGATCATCCATAGCAGCACAAAGCTCGTTCTCCCAGCCATTGCCATGGCGGATGGTCGCAAGGGGCCCTGGGCACCTTGGTTGCAGATGTTTGGGATATAACATGATATTTCACTTCCTCACAACGACCTCGCATTACCATCGTTATTTTAACATGTCTTAACCAAAATGCATTTGTACGTCATGCCCCTGCTACTGACCTATGACGGAGATTAACAACTGGTTAACGCTTTCTTAGTGGTTGCTGTTGGTCAATAAGCCTTTTGTAAACGACCGGTAATATAGCTAAAATCACTCCTTTTTACTGGCCGAATCAACTTGCTAAAAGATGGCCATGTTCAATAGCAAAAGTGTTAGATTATCAGAGAGTATAGCGTATATATCCCATTAAATCCCCATAAAATACCATACAATCCAATTAAATCCAATTAAATCCCCACTAAATCTCCATTAAGTCTCCATTAAGTCACCATAAAATCAGCATAAAATCTCATACAATCTCCATGATATAAATCCCCATAAAATCTCCATTAAATTCCCTTAAATTCTGACACAATTCCCCTAACATCTCCATTAAATCCCTACAAAATCTCGCGGAATTGCCGATTTTTTGGCGCTGATCACTTTTTGCCTTGAGGTCCCACCTCAGAGAATTGAAGACCTCTACGAGAGGAGAAAGTTGATACAACCCGGGACCAAGGCCATAAACTTCTAGGATTTTTTGGTGCTGGTTGGGAAAGCACCCGGTTTTGAGGATTTTGGTGATGATGATTGGGTAAAACCATTTAAAAACCACATTAGATTGATTTAACATGAGTCAAATCGATTTGAATTGATGGGGGACCAGTAAGATTCTTGACTTCTCATTGATGCTTGTGCTGCTAGTAGCTGCTAGGTGTTTATTTGATCCTTGGTCTGAGCAAATTGTAGTGACCTCCCCAAAATAGGCGGGAAAGAAGTGTTGGCGTTTTTTTTTTTGGTGGTTTTGATTCACATCAGACTACCAGACTGCTTCAAAAAGAAAGATTTGCAAACATGACAGCAACAGTACTGTATGGTGGTAAAACCCCTGGCGAAGGAGTTCTATGTGCTTTCATTGCTAAGCAGTTCTGAAAGATTATTGAACCTCGATCAACTCTTTCCATTGGCTTCAAGCTGACCTTTGTGGGAGGTTACGTCCTTGTGTGTTTGCTTGCGGCTTGCAGTAGTTGAAAGATGGGGGTTTTACATCCAAGATATGGCAATTTAGGTCAGAAAGCTGATGGTACAGTTTTTATCATTGGATTTCAGGTTGACAGATCCACAGTATGCCAATGGGCAAGACTGGTCTCATGGTGGAGTATGGTATGCTCGGAAAGTCCACATTTTCTGCCCTCCTGATTCCGTTCAAGACGGCCCCCTTGCCAAGCACTTCGCGAGGACCAGTGGGAATCAATTTGCAAGCATCAATCGGCCAACTGCCGGCGCTCGGTATGAGGCGTGGCGAGGATTCACTGTGATTCACTGATGCAATTCAATTTGCTTTCAGACTTGCAGCTTTGTTTGTCTTGTAGTGGGTTTATATACAATCATATCAATCATACACACCTGAGTGTAACCTTACATTATGTATACATTATATATATATGCTCACCATTTGCTATCTGCTATCTTCATATATATATACATCATATATGTATATATATATATATATACACGTATCAACAAAATTTCCAGGTGTACATTTTATAAATCAACAAATTATGTCAACTAAATAAATGATGTAAGGCCTTGACGTTGTGTAGTTGTGATGCACAGGGTTGGTGCGCTAAGCCTACTCTCGATCATCTCCCTGCATCGGACGAGAGTGCGATGCTTGTTGAAGGGTCCTTGCAACGCCCATGAACAAAACATAAATCTTAATAAATAATAGTCAAAGATATCAAAAGATATCAATTCGGATAAAAAGACTAGTTCTTGGTGCTACCATATCTGTATGGTACTATACATTTATAGTATATATAGTATATATATATGTATTTATAGTATAAATGTGTATTTATAGTATAAATGTGTGTGTGTTTTTGGGGTAAACATCGAGGATTGAATGTTGCATACTCATGGAGGATCTGGAGCAACGTCAGGCCAAGCTGGAAGGGGGCACAGAGCCCTTGCAGTCTGACTCCCAGTGACTGTTGGGAAAAAAATCGGCAGTTGATCCTGCACCTGGCAGGTGTATCGGTGTATCCAGCATCATCCTTGGTAAATCTTGGTAATCACGTTTTATCAGTTTTGTTGACTGTGAGTCAACATGTTTCCTCCACTTTTGATTCTAGGCAGTTACCCGATGGGGGTCATGAAACTGTTTGCTTCAGAGGTATATTCATTCTTGGTGTCGTTTTGCTCTTGAAGAACTCCCCTCAAAATAAGAAACTTGATTTGAAGATTGTTTGTTTCGTTGATCGTTAATGTGCTTCAGCATCTTCATTGCAAGTGAGGCTCCGAATTAATTCGCCACATGAGCCACGTTTTTTTTCCAGATGATGGAATTTAGATTGAGAAGGAACTCACATCATTCATGTGTAGGCTATTCTGCTTGGTGCGTAGGTTTCGCGTAGGCATATACGTAGGATAATGTAGGAGAGGCTGCGTAGGCAGTCTCGCGTAGGCACTTGTTTAGATGTTCTAGATTGTTTGTTTCTGACCTCGAACTCTTGTTTCTCTTGGTGGCTTACAATGATTTTAAATGCAAACTGGATTGTATGGTTCATATGTTTAGCTGGAAGAAAG